AGGTGGATAAACTCCTAAGCCCCAATTTACATCATATCATATTATTTCACATAAGCAATTCAATATCACTTATGAAATCATACTTGAATCAGTGCGGCACGACGGAAGCGAGTGGTCATAACTACATCATAATATTCAGTTATTTCACAGAGTCCACATAAATCACATAAAGCAGTCTACAGAAACGTAGACCTGCTCTGATACCACACTGTAACGCCCCACTTTGATTTAACGAAAATCCATGGCTTTTCAGAAAAATCAACTTAATTTTTTTCAAAATTCATTTCAAACATTTGTAACATTACTCATTTATTTCAAAATCCTTTTTCATGACATAACATCAAATCATAACATAATTCATCAATCATAAAATTCAACTCCCATAAAGGGTTCATCCAAAATCATCCATCACCCAAACCGGGTTTTCAAAATCATCAGAGTGTTCACAGGGCATCTCCCCAACATTATTTCAAATCATAATATTCTTGAGTTCATAAATTCATAAAATCATAAATCAGTTCATCATAGCGGAAGCAACAAATAATTAATCCGGTCATAAAGACCGACCACCACTCGCTCAACTCCGCCATCATGCCTGCCCTGCTAAACCTGAAATGTTAATTTCAGGTGGGAGTGAGCACATATGGAAACTGTGGTGCTCACCACTATGCAATAAACAATAACCATAATATAAGATTGTACGGTCGCAGCATGTATACAAATCATTTAGTTATCCCAATCTCCTACCCAATTTTGTTCTCATGTGCACAACTATCTCAATACACCACTCCTGGTATACATACCGAATGCCAACCCTTGCCTTGGTCTTACAATGCCCAACCAGTAGGAGTCTCCCCCGACGATCGAGCGCGGCCCTGGTCTTTCAACAGGGTACTGATCGCTGACCGAGCACAGCCCTGGTCTTAAGCGACGTGTCCTTCGCAAGGACATAAAGAGGAGATTACCCCAACGGGGTCGTTCTTTAGCTACGGGGAAAACCGTTCAACGGCGGGTACAACTCACATCGAAGGCGACATGGTTCACATGCATACATTAATCATACCAAAAGCAGAACATGAACATAATTTAAAGCATAGAATTTTAATTAAACCCACCAGGTTATCGAAGTGGTAGATAAAACACAAAAATTTGATAGGAGGGCGAGCTCGACTTGTCAAGCACCTACATTAATAAAAATAACCCTATAAACAACTATTCGACACAAGGATTTCCATAGTTTAAGGCATCTAAGGTTCATAACATCATCACTTAGTGCAACTCAGCTCATATAAGTCATATAAACATGCATTTAAAAAGTAAATTTTTATTTTCGAAAGCACACATGAGTTTTTCAAAACTTAACCCGCGCAACGATTTTAAAATGATCACAACTTGCATCACATAAGTCATATAAACATGATTCCAATTGCATATGAACCCTAAGACATGCTTATACAACACTTATGAAGACATAGAAAACATACAAGGTCATCTACCAGGGGATAATTAATCAAACATTTATAACAGAGTTGCAGTCAACAATTGAGGTCATACAGCTGACAGGACTTCAGTAATCACAGGATAAATGAAGCTACAGACATGCGTTTAATGAGATTCAAGAACCAAAAAGCATCTAACTTGATTATCTACAACTTTGTTGAAGGCCACATTGGCAAATAATGATATTATCATAGAGTTTAAACATAAAACATTCGGTTCATAAAAACTGCCAGAAACTAACCTAAATTACAAACAACACCTCAGTAATTATCCTCTAATTCATGCTACAGACCTTCAAATGACATGATTCAAACGAATAGACAGTCAAGAAGCAGGGCTACAATTTTGCATGAAGACCACCTTTCAGTTTGAGCACAAACAGACATCAAAAACATGCCAGACATTAAATACATACAAGCTGCCAGGTTTACTGAAAACTGCTTGCGCAATTATTTTGTAAAAATCATAACTCACTCGATTTAAATCGGACTTTTAAAATTCCAAAACCCACTGAAAGATAACAAGATAAGCTACATTTCATATGCAGATCACATCTTCATTAAACGAGTTCTTGAGGGCTATAACAGAGGCACAACAGAGGCAATAAAATCACGATTTATTATGCAAATGCCAATGTAACCTCGCCAATATAATCTCTATGCCATAAGAACCTAAGCATCTCTTAACATCATCATAGCACACATAAACATGGGAGGGTTACAATTTGACATGATCTCAACCAAAACGTCAACATGATTCAACATAGAACATCACATAACCGGCACATATATCAACCCTAACGATATTAACAAGAAATCTCTCACATATGCACATAACAACACATATATAAATACATTAAACGAAGGGTTCAAGCCATCGAGTACCGTTCTTGGGATTGATACTCGAAAACGAGTCGAGAGAAGGCTGTTCGGGGTCGGGAGCACGCACGGGGGGCTCGGCAGCTTGCGCATGGCTCGCTCGTTCGCGTGTGGGTCTCATGTTCGCTGGGTCGCGGTGGCCTGAGATGCTAGACAGGGCGGAACAGCGGTGGAGGGGCCCTGCAACAGAGCTTCGAGATCGAGCGACAGCGGGTGAAGGTCGTCGGTGGTGAGGGCAGCGACGGGTGGCAGCGGTCGCAAGGTTGCAGCGGCGGGTGGCCTCCGTGTGCTGCTCGCGGTCGACAGAAAGGAGAGATAGGGTTGCAGCTGAGTCGCTTCTCCTTTTTGCGCGTGAAGATGAGGGATGATGATGATCAAGCGAGTGGGAGTGAGCGATCGATTTTTCTTTCTTTTTTTTCCTTTTAAGATGAGAAAGAGAGAGATCGAGAGGGACGGGATGAGAGATCGAGATGAGTTTTTCTTTTCTACTTGCGAGAGAGAGAGGCGACAGATTTGAAAGCTGAGGGTTTTAAGAGCGGCGAGGGTGAAAGTGACGAGAGATATGAGAGCGTTACGCGTTAAAAATAAGACTTAGGCAACTATTCTTGCTCTCCAAGCTATTTAGAAAACGGGTCAGGTCGCGGGAGGTTTACGGGCGCACGGGCTGGTTTCGACTACCGATTTCATTAATCCGATAAACGTACAATGCTCGGTAAAATAAAAAATGACGACGACCGGAAAATTAAATAAATAAATCCGGTATATATATTTGCACACAATAATAAATATATTATCAAACGATTATTTCACTTTGGCAATTTAATAAAATAAATAATAATATTAAAAATACTAAAAATATCCAAAAAAAATCCATTAAACGAACGGGGCATTACATTTATGATCATCGTAAAAGGATGCAATGAACTCTTAAAAAATTGATGTATATCACATTTCACTTCATGGAAATTTATAGATGTTCTGACTGTTGGTATATATGTCATAGAGACAATCTTTTTGAAGACATATATACATGATCACATTAATATTATAGTGGATTATAATTATGGTATTGCATTTTATTAAATAATTTTTTAATTGCTTGGAATTTATTATTAATTGCTCTCCTTGAGTTGATATTGTTATTCGCAGAGTGAGATGTTAATTGATAAAGTATAACTCTCAAATCGTCTCAATCGATGATCATTAAGAAATGGATATTAATGATACGCGATAGATTGACATGTGGTTTGCATCATATTCTTGAAGAATACAATATGTCCCAATACTATGAATAATCTTTATTCGTGATAGACACATGAATACTTTGGAGAGTATCGGTATACCCTACTGATAAAATCATTTGTTTATGTATCTATGGAAATAGTGGTGTGTGGAATGATAGTCCTTTGACTTGAGATCAATATACAATTCGTGTATAGAGTGATTTACTTAGACCTAGTCTAATGCTTACGCTCCTTATGGATAGACACGGGCTTGTGTTTGGTAGATCACGATATACATGTAATTGGTAGTTAAGCCAAGATAGGATTCATTCTTCAACTATAGTTTCGAGAGAACACTCATTTTCTCAATACTGGGTTGATAAAGTCATTGACCAATGCACGTGATTATATTTAAAATGGTGTTCAAATATAATTGATTAAAATCAACCAGCAAGATGAGATAAAATGATTAAGCTCTTTGGATAGACACACATTCAAATCCTAAGCGTAATCGAGTGGTTCGTGAATGAAGGGATCGTATCAACATTGAGTTCTACACTAAAGGTTTGTTTTCTTTGTCCATGTAAACGTACTTCATATTTAGAGTTCGTCTGTCGACGTAGTCTAAGAGTTTCATAAGGATCATAAATTAGATTTATGTCAATATATGAAGGCTTATAGGGTCACACAATATGCAATTGGTTTTTCCGACTAAGAGTGAATTGAGAGTGTTAAATATTTAATTAGATTGGAATATTTATTTATGAGTAATGAGATTATTTTATATTCGATAGAAAACATTTAATTAAGGTAAATTGAATTAATATTTAATTAAATTATTTATTGGATTAAGTCCAATCACCTATAAGACTATAGATTCTCCTAAGGCCCATATAATTAGGTTTGACCTAATTATAAATCCGAGATTGCAGAAGCCCGAATACAACTTTCTACTTATATACTTTGGTGACTGTGGCAGTCACGGAACTTGTGGATCTTCGAGAAAACATGGATGCCAGAAGAGGTTGTGGCTAGAGGAGCTTGGATAGATTGGCAGGAGTTCGAGGCTTTGAAGACTTAATATTTTTCTTTTGGTTTGTTGTCATTCAGCTGTGTTTTTTTAGGAGTAGTGTTTGTTTTGGTGTAGTCTCTAGTTGGTTGTGTTGTTCTTGCGATTAAAGGTTTCGGAGGTTGCATCCTCACCTTTAGACGTGTAGTTGTTTGGTTGTTCTCGAGACCACTCTTTGAGTGGTCTCCCATGGCTTCGTGTAAATGTTTTCATAGTTTGTTCGAACGTTGTTCGGCTTTTCGATTAGTTCTATCGTTTGAGGAAAAAAAAAAAATTAACCATCACACATCTACACTAGTAGCTACCTTAATCATTTTAGATAAACCACACTCTCAACTATAACTGCAAGCAATGATGGAGCTGTATTTCGATTTTTTATTTTTTATATATCATCACAACGAATCGGAAGTAGGAAACAAGATCAAATAGCCTCTACATTACAAGGGAATTAACAAATCTTTTAAATTATAATCGAAAAAAAATACACACTTACTACACAAGTATACTTATTACACAACCATACAAATGAAGTTTAGATATTAGCCCATTTTACTTGGGACATGCACACCATTGTAACTTATCAACATACCTAAGAACTTGGTAGCAACCTGCCATTATACATCTTATCAAGCAATTGTCGTCCGTCTGGCCTCCTAAGAAGGCCTTTGTTGTTCGGTAAACCTGTCCCTAGGCATACAGGACACACTAATTTCCCTCGACCTGCACAATGAAAGTACCAAATATTCAACGCCTAAAACTCTAGTTACAATTGAAGAATTTATACATGCAGTGAAGAAATGAGAAAAGAGCGGGAATACAATGGAAATAAAACTCAAATTGAAATGATATCGAGCATGGTGCGCATATGTGAAAAATTACAAGATTTTATCCTGAATTTTGTTGGTTTCCAATACACATATAACTGAACTCGAAAGGAAATTATGAGCATTGATTTAGTAATGCAATGGGAAACTTCTTCAGTCAGGGAAAATTAAAAACAAAAGAATCCATAGCCATGCATCGTCAACATTGACAGAAGTGGATTAAAATAACATGATAGTTATAATTCTTTTAGCACGAAGACACTAAGAATTAGGAGTTCGTTCATTACCATAACAGTTTGGGCATTCTGTGAATTCATAAACATCTTTTGCACGTTTTCTGTTTAGAGCTTTCCATTTTCCTGTACCACCACACATATCACCTAAATAAAAAAGCAAATCAACATCTCATGGGCTATACAGGTTATAGCAAATTTGTGCAGGATTTAAATGTAGCATTAGGTTCACACAACTGCCTTCAGGAGTAGATTGCCAAAACTTAATCGAGAACAAAACTCTCATCAGCCAATACTGTACGTTCTCCAATTAGAGTAACAATTTATAATTTATCAACTTCACTTGTATTTGGTAAGCTACATTTTCAATTAAGTCCTACTCTATCCTCAGTAAAGCATTANAGACATAGTTACTACCAGGGGAAAAAAAGACATAGTTGCCTCCAAAACAATATATACTCCCTCAATATTTCTCTTTTATGGTGTACTTGTGTTTTGAAAGATAACTGGAGCATTTTCATTACAAAATCAATTCTCGAGAGGTTTTTCACACATAACAATGACCACTGCAAGTGAAAAGAACTTATCTAGACTTACAGATTATTGCACCACTTCCCCCACAATTACGGCACACGGGGTTTTCATTCCCATCCAAAGCAGTTGCCTTGGAATCGGAATCAGAAAACCTTGGAGCTACTATCAATGCCATACTCGAACATAAACAGGTCAGACACTGACGACGAGAGGTTGCAATATGGGAAGTCTGTTTCAAGGAACAAACAAGACTTAACTTGAAATGAAAATAGAAAAGTTATGGAGCGAAGGAATAATTTTTCTATGAATAATGGCGAGATATTATGTTGAAGACAGAAAAAGAAGGTAGACTTAACTATGACGTGCTTCCAAATAGTTTAAAGTTGGATACTTACAACAAACAGCCCTGAGGTTTGAGCTGATTACAGAAAAGCATTTTATGTTCAATAAATACAAGATTGCCATTAAAATTTGGCTCCATGATTAGTTTAAGGGTTAATTGCACTTGTTTTCCAGGTGTTCCTTGTAAAGGGAGGTAAATGTAACATACATAAACAAAACCTCACAGACTTGTTTCTGTAATTTCCGGAAAGCTCCAAGTCCTTTTTACAATCAACCCAAGGTGATTTTCTTTTTATCCCTACTTTATCCGCTCAAGATTGGTAACAAAAACCAAGAACTCAACCACAAGGAAAACAAAGGTTTTTAAAATACCATGGAAGCTGCACAGTAAAGATTAGAGGTGTTCATTTATGATAGCACTAACAATCAATGACAGTTAACAAATTGGAAGTTTTGAAGACATACAGACCTCTGTCTTGATGGGTTCTAGTGACTGATCAAAACTATCAAGTGAGCACATCTCATTTTCCAAATTGGATCTTATTTGTGATCGAACTCGCTTCAACTTGGCATCTACATAATAGGGAAAAGTTCAGAAATTGAAAAGTCCACGTTTGGCATGACTAACAGCAGCTACTTAAATCCACAAAGGAGACACGTAGATTCTTTTGTGACATACCAATGCAAGAAATATTAATTTCAATTTTCAAAAGTTGTCACTGTTTACAGTACTTCCATTTCACTCAGCAGTCATACAATCCGGCATAACATAACAAAAATAAACCAATTATGCTATAGCTTCATCAATGACCGTCAAATAGACATCCGGTATTGTATATTGTCAATTCAACAAAGCAAAAGCTTATTATAAATGTGATCACCAATAAAAGAAATGTAACAGAACACATCTGTGTGATATGGAGATATAATTTGTGAAGATATAGTAGAGTTTAGCCATATCTCTCATAAACATGTCGTTTTTCAGGTTCAGAGTTTAATTGTCCATTTTCCCATTATCTTCCATGCCTTTGGATCTACAGGTCCTACACTTCACGATTTTCCAAGAAAATTGTCTTGGTTACACAATATCATATCTTGATGCCATGAAAAGCACCAGGCTGAAAACAAAAATTTGACTATCATTTCTGGACGGTTATATTTTCCATACTAACACTACATACAAGATACAACCACATGTTTTAATCTGCAATTCCAATTTTGTATCAAATGCATCTCTTTTCCCACAATGAAAACTTCCTTTTCTTCAAAATACATCTTTTACAGCTATCTAGGCTGAAAAAAACCACTGACAAACAAAGAACCATAAACCAGGACACGCTATATTTGCAAATACTAGAAAGAAAACACAACCAATCACAATAAAGGAAAAAAAAAAATAAAAAAAAAAGGAGAATTTAAGAAAGAGCAATAGCCATTATCCTATGTTCAACTTAAATGACCCTTTCCTGCAATGTAAACAGGCCAATTATAGAGAATTGACCATATAATAATTCACATCAGTTCACATGGAAGCTGAAAATATTCCCTTTTTACTGGCTATAACAGCTTAAATAAAGCCGAGAGCCTTTGAACATGGCAGACACTTACAGCGGTTAGAGGGAAGTTTAGAATGATGCACAACGGAACCTGAAAGAGCTGAGGATGTAAGGGAAGAGAGATTAGAAGCCATCTCTCTCTGATTGGGTGTCTGTCCCGAACTGTATGAACTTGTGCGAAAAGATCAGTTTTGGTGATGTGGTCGTGGCCATCGTAATTGCGGTAGGATAAGTGAAGTGATATATTTTTTTAATAAATATTGTGCTACTAGGTACTTAAAAAAATGACAAATATTTGACTGGATTGTTACTAATATGAAAAAATATATTAATTAAAATTAATACAAAATAAATTTTCTAAATATCGATTGATAATAGTTGGTTGTAGTGCATGTGTGGATATAAAAATTTTTTGGTTTCCTTGGATTTTTTGGTTTGGTTTGATTAATTTTGAAAAATGTGGTATGGTTAGTTGTTAGTGGGTAGATTAAAATAAGATTTAAAATAAAATAATTAAAATTAATTTGATGTAAAAGTAGGAGATAGATGATTTGAAGTGATGGTTGGTTAAAATAATGTGAGTGGATGAATAGTGAATTAAAGTTGATGTGGTGTGTATGAATGATTGATTGATATTATTTAATTATATTAATAATATTGATGATAGTGGGGTTGAGTTAAAGTTGAGTTAAAAAAGTGGTTGAATTAAAATATTAGAAATTTTTTGAAATATATATATATATATATATATATAATAAGAATTGCCATTTTTTAAAAATGGCAAGTCAAATTCTGGTCAAACATTAATTGCATGCTATTTATTAGATTTTTTTTTTCTTCAAAAACAACCAGCATTAAATGGTGGCCTAAAAATGTGGCGTTTGTTAAGAGAGGTTACTGTCCACATAAAAAAACTAATTAACCATACAAAATTATATTAACACTCCAATGCTAATTATGACGTGGCATAGTGTAGATAAATAAATTTTATTATCACTCCAATGCACAATATTTATGAAGAAAGTTGAATTGAAAATATATAAATTTTTTTTTTTGGTAGTTACTTTGAGATTTGAAATTGCACTTCTATTAAATTATATATATGTTACTTGTTGTTACATCACATAATAATAATAGGATTGAAGATTTTTTATATATATATATATATATATGTTTGTGTGTGTGTGTGTGTGTGTGAAATCTATAAGAATTTTTTTTTGTGTAGTCCAAATTTAGATTCTAAATTTAAAAGTCAAATAAGTAATTATTTATAACTTACAGGTCAAAATTAACTTGGATGTAAATGACATAATCAATTATTTATAGTTTAATAAATTACTCAACTACTTAAATTTTTTTATTTGGATTGTTTATACAACAATAAATTTATTTTAATAAGTGGAACAACTTAAGTTTTATAATTGTACTTATTATCACATCAATTTTTAAATATAAGATAAAATTTTACCAAAATAATTATTTTACTGAATAACATTGTAGTCAAATCAAATTTATGAATACATATTTTAAAATGACACTTATTTTGAAATAAATATAATGTAATTTATTATTAACTACATGCACCGTAGGGGTTTGTACTAATTTTAAATCAACATGTTTATATAATGTTGCACAATTTTATACGAAGAACAAGAATAAATAAAATTGTTATTTTTCCTATATCAAGGAATATATATATATATATATATATATATATATATATATATGGCTAGCGCTAACAAATTCAGTTTTACGTTCCGAAAAAAAAGTGACGCTAATGAAAATAAGTGGAAAATAGATGATTCAACTCTATTATTTTTTAGGGTTCAATGGACAAGCTCTATGGACTCTATGAAAATTAATTATTTAATATCTTTGTCTCGTGCATCGCACGGGCTACTCACTAGTTTTTTATCAACAAATATGCTCTAATATTTTGATAGGTCATCATCCAATATAGCTATAGATTTACTACTCTTTTCTTTTTACTAGTACAGTATCCATACAGTACACGAGGCTTTATTATTTCCGTCCTTTTATAAAGTCAAATTTCTATTCAAATTCAAAATAAATAATAAAAGAACCATCATGACATTACTAAATATAATGAAAATAAAATTTATATATTACTGAACAGTTCCTTATATATAACGTTCATAATTTGATTTTTTGGCACGTCGTCGTAGCCACAAATTAAGATTTTCAAACTATTTCGGTTAGTGACACGAGAGACAACAAAATACAACTGGTCATGACTAAACATTGGTTTCTTAAGAAATAAGCCAACATGCAGTATGGATTGTCTCTGACTCTTGTTTATAGTCATGGCGTAAGAAACCATAATGGAAAAATGTCGACGTTGGAACTTGAAAGAAATTCAAACATCGGAAGGAGTTATTGTCATTCTTGGAATCAACACCTTATCACCTGCGTGATCTCCAGTGAGTTTCTTACACTCGAGAACATGAGTGGAGAGCTTTGTCAGAACCAATCGTGTCTCATTACAAAGACCCAAAGAATGATCCATATTCCGCAACAGCATGACCGGAGTTCCAATCTTCAAGTACAACTCATGGTTCGGTATTACAGAGCACTTGGTACTATTCAAAAACTTGGGCGTATGGAGATCAGACAAAAAGTCATTATTAGAATCTGATTTGCACGTACTGTCATGGATCAAGTACATATTGTAATGCCCGTTTATTTAATAAAAGCATAGCATGTTCTTGCATTTCATTCATAGCTCGAATTTTGTTTAATCTTGGTTTTAATTTAAATCCTATTAATCAAAATGAAAATTAAGTAGATGTCATGTCTATTTAATTCGCTTAATCAAAATCTTTCTTTTGTGCCTAAGTGTGTTGAGTGCTTAAGTTGAATTTCTCTAAGTATTCATAAGCTAAGACTCGGCCATATTTATCAAGCCCAAAAAAATTTCAATATTGCCTAATTGTCTAAGAAATTCTGCATGCTCGGCCATTTCATTTTCAAAACTAGCATTTTCTCCTGTGCACATGCACAAATACAAATAAAATTTTATACGTTATATATATATAAATAGGGATTGGTTCAAATGCATCCGCTTATTTAAAGTAAGGACGTGAGACTCATTCCTAGCCACAAGATTTAGATCTTGATTTAAATAATTATTCTTTATTTTTATTAGTTAATTCTTTATTTTTAATTATTTAAATATTATTATGACCATTGACCGTTGACTCCAGCGTTGACCGATGCCTTCCGGCGAAAATCGTTGACTTTCGGTGTTGATCATTGAGTTTTGGCGTTGACCGTTGACTCCGACATTGACTTCCGGCGTCGACCGTTGACCATTTGTCTTTTGTTGTTATGTTATTTCTTTCTTGCTAGGTTAGTTGTGTTTTGTTGCTAGGTTAGTTGTTTGTTGTTGTTAGGTTAGTTATTTGTAGCTGCTAGGTTAGTTGAGTTTTGTTGCTAGGTTAGTTGTCTTAAGTTGCTAGGTTATTTTTTTTCTTGCTGCTAGGTTAGTTGTCTTTTGTTGCTAGGTTAGTTCTTTCTTGCTGCTAGGTTAGTTGTCTGATGCTGCTAGGTTAGTTGTCTTTTGTTGCTAGGTTATTTCTTTCTTACTGCTAGGTTAGTTGTCTTTTGTTGCTAGGTTAGTTATCTTTAGCTGCTAGGTTAGTTGTGTTTTGTTGCTAGGTTAGTTGTCTGTTGTTGCTAGGTTAGTTAATTGTAGCTGCTAGGTTAGTTGAGTTTTGTTGCTGGGTTTTTTTTTTAAACAAACAACACCCCCGAGGGGCAGGGGATTGGGCTGGATCCCCAACCTGTGCATAGATCAAGACCCCAAAACAGGGCCCAACAAATCAACAGTCTACAGTCTGCAGAGTCTCAAAAGAAAAATAACAAAGAAATAACAATACAAAGTCTGTCTTCGGGCTAACAGGTGCCCGAAAATAGAATTCTAATCTACTGAAAGTAGAATGATGGATATCCAAGCTGGTCCATCCGTACGAGCGTGCGAAGGCGGAGTGGAGCAGTGTCGGTCTGAAATGTATGTGGGTCTAGTATGGTGGCGCCAAGGCTGGCAAAGTAGTCCGCAGGTCTGTTCCCTTCACGGAAAATGTGTGTGATCCTATGATGGACAGACCGGAGTAGAGCTCTAATACGCATAAGCGGGTGCTGAATCTGCCACGAGCCCTAGTGGCCCGAAGTCAGGAGGGTGGCGACAGCCGCAGCGTCTAGCTTGATCCAAATATGGCTAGAGAGGTGGACAGCAATCTGAAGGCCGATTTGTAATGCCTAAATCTCTGCATCGTAGCTCGAGGAGGCCTGAAGGGGCGTGTGGAAGGCGGTGATAAGGGCGCCGCTGTGGTCCCGGATCAAGCCTTCTCCTCCGGCAACTCCGGTATGACGATCAAAAGAGCCATCAGTGTTCAGCTTGACCCACGGAGAGTCAGGTCGAAGCCAAACAACAGCTCTGGCCCGAGGAGACCGAACAGGCGGTAGGGGGGCCACCATGTAACGGTGTGGCGGCGTGCAACCTTTCCAGTCTTGGGCCGTGAGCCTGTCCAATGCTATGAGGAATGAAATGTGTCTCTCTACCTGCAAAACAATGTGAGAAAACAAAAAAGTAATATCCCTATGCTTCGCACTATTCCTCTCTGTCCAGGTGAACCAAAGGATCAGACAAGGAATGAGGAAGCCCACGTGTCTAAGGTGTGTGCTCTGTGAGAAAAAACTCAGGAGCTCAAAGAAACTGTCTGTGGTGGGTAGGGATATATGGGTCCAAGTGGCAAAATGCTCCCACACTCTCCTCACAATCTCACTCTCTAGAAAAAGGTGGGTAAAGGTCTCGGTTTCATGGCGTCTAGTCTCAGAACAACACACACACTGAGATGGGAAGGAGATCCCCCTCGCATTTAACACAGTGTCCACGGGTATCCGGCGCAAGAGGAGGCGCCAAAGGAATACCGAAATGTGAAAAAGTCGCTCTAGATGGCCCCAAAGAGAAGATTAGGCCGATCTCTCAGCCTGATCTGCTCCCAAGCCGAGGTAGTAGAAAACACACCCGATGATGTAAGTCTCCACCTCATGCCATCCGAACCGTCCCCCGAGATGGGGATTTACTGGATCTGATCTATTAAATGCTTGCTAAAACCCGCACCAGAGCCCTGTTGGGATCTGTGAGGATCTTGTTATGTACAAATCACGAATTCAATAGCAAACGTAAACCTATGCGCAGCGGATCTAAAGGTT